TTGAACCGCTTCACGTCCCTGGGACAGCGGGGGGGTCAGGGGGACCCAAACCCTGCCCCCTCAAACCCAGCCCCCCCAAACCCAGCCCCTCGCTGGCCCACTCAAACTCCTTCTGCTCCTCCTTCAACCACTGTCCATGGGACGGGGGGTCAGGGGGGACCCTGAAACCAGCCCCCCAGTCCCCCCAAACCCAGCCCCCCCAAACCCAGCCCATCGCTGCCCCCCTAATCCAGAATCGGTGGCGCCGCTTCCACCCAACCCCCCCAGCACCCAGCCTGCCTCCCCACCCCCAACCAGCCCCCAACTCCAAATCCAGCCCCCTCCCCCGCACTCCAGGCGCCTCATCCTAAATCCACCCAGCCCCCCCATCACCAGGGCACCCCCACAATGCCCCCCTTCATCTGTTTCCAACCTCTCACACCCCCACACACAGCCCTAACCATCTACACTGCCCCTCCCCCAAACTGCCCCTCCCAGATACCCCTGGGAAGCCCCCCCATCCTCCTGCCCCCTCGGCCCCCCCCCCCCAAACTCACTCTTTCACCAGGGTATAGATGTGTTGCCGGGATGAGTGCTGGGTGCTGTCCAGAAGCTCCTGCAACGAGCCGGGAAAGGGGGGGTCAGAGATTGGGGGAGTCACAGCTTGGTGGGCTCAGCGGTGAGAGATTGGGGGGACTGAGGAGAGAGGAAGGAGGGGGATCAGATTGGGGGGAACGGCCGGGTGAGGGAGAAGGGGTCAGTGATTGGGGGGCCCGGGGAGAGAGGAAGGAGGGGGATCAGAGATTGGGGGGGAAACCCCCAGCATGAGGTAGAGGGGGTCAGAGATTGGGGGCAACCTCCAGAGAGAGGAAGGAGGGGATCAGAGATTGCAGGGGCCTGGGGAGAGAGGAAGGAGGGGTTCAGAGATTGGGGGGGAAACCCCCAGCGTGAGGTAGAGGGGGTCAGAGATTGGGGGCAACCTCCAGAGAGAGGAAGGAGGGGATCAGAGATTGCAGGGGCCTGGGGAGAGAGGAAGGAGGGGTTCAGAGATTGGGGGGGCCCAGGGAGAGAGGAAGGAGGGGGGTCAGAGATTGGGAGGAACCCCCAGGGGAAGGTAGAGGGGGTCAGAGATTGGGGGGCCCAGGAAGAGAGGAAGGAGGGGGTCAGAGATTGGGGGGAACCCCCAGGGGGAGGTAGAGGGGGTCAGAGATGGGGGGGAAACCCCAGGAGGAGGGAGAGGAGGTCTGAGATAGTTGTGGGGCCCTGAGAGAGATCAAGCCGGATGACACTTCTTGGGGTTCACCCCCACACCCCCAAATCAGGAAAGGTGCTGCGGGGGCATTGGGGAATACGGTCCCAAGGAGGTGGGGGCTGGACCAGGGCAGGTGGGAGGGGAAGAGGGGGCCCCCCAGGGGGAAGGGGGCAGAGAAGCCTAGAGCAGGATGGAGGTGGGGGGCCACTGGGAGGGGGAGGAGTCAGAGGTGTTGGGGGGCAGGGCCTGGGGGGTGAGTGGGGGGGCATCTCTCACCACTTGGTTGTCAATCATTTGGTTGAGGCTGTCGGAGAATTTTTCCAGGCACTCCTGGGGGGCAGAAAGAGGGGCAGAAGGTGAGTGAGGGGCCGACAGGGCCCGGTCCAGGTCCCCCTGAATCGGCCCCACCCCACCCCCAGCTCCAGCCCAGCCCCACGGCCCCACGCCCCCCCCCCAGCCCCAGATCCCCCTGAATCGGCCCTACGCCCCCCCC